ACACTACAAGTTGAACTACAGCTGAAAATTATAACTATTATGCATGTATAAGAGCCAGGTTAATACTGATACATGGTGCTGCTAATAAAACACAGTCATACTAAACTTTATCATTATAAATGCAAAATAATACTAACAGTAAATAAAACAACTGCAACTCCTGAAATCCAATTCTAACACACCAGCTCAGGAAGTTTGACCTGCCCCAGGAGCTGCTGATACAGTTTTACAGAGCAATCATCGACTCTGTTCTTTGCAACTCCATCACTGTCTGGTTTGGCTTAGCAACCAAACAGGACAAGTACAGACTTCAGCGGACAGTTAGGACTGCAGAAAAGGTCATTGGTGTGAGCCTGCCCTCCATGGAGAACCTGTACACCTCATGGATAAAAAGGAGGGCAGAGAGGATCACTGCAGACCCCTTACACCTGGCACACAATCTGTTCAAACTCCTCCCCTCTGGACGGCATTACAGGTCACTTTGCACCAAGACAACCAGGCAAAGGGGCAGTTTCCTCCCCTGGGCTGTCACTCTGTTTAACACTTAACCCATGACGGTATGACTGCTCAGTAACCCTCAGTGCAATACCTGTAAATATAGATCCGTAAAATGCATCTAGACTGTGTGTATATACAGGTCTCTTTTTATTCCTATTTCTCATTTCACAGAAAGCATTCCTTTGTCTGCATTGTTTACTGCCTGTTTATACTGCTTATTTTGCATGGTTTGTTGCTGCTAATACTGCTTATTTTGTTATATTACACAGCCTTATGTTGGTTTACTGTTTATTTACACCGTGTATGGGGATATGTACATGCACATTGACAACCAATGTACCAGAGTCAAATTCCTCGTGTGTCCTACACACCTGGCCAATAAAGCAGATTCTGATTCACAGTCTTCACCTACACCAATAAAACAATTACCACAAACCCGATTAACACTGCATTTCCAGCTGTGGTCTGAATAATGTCAAAATTGCAGGTGTCATGAAAATAATTTACTAATGATTTCAGTAAGTGCGCATTTACCAAGTCTTCGTTCATATACAGCATGTGAACTTACTGTCGCATGGCCACTGTGTCAGCACACTAGCAGACTAGACTCAGAGACAGAAGGGAGTAGGCCAGAAGGAGTGGGGAGAGAGACTGAGCAAACAGGCTGGACCCAGATGACAGGTGCGATACTGATCACAAACTTTATTGTACTGAGAAAACAAGTTATGGAGATAACAGTCAATATGCTGGAAATATCCGCCAGAGGAGGCAGAGCTCGAGGGGTCCACAGATGGGGAGCTGGAGGTGGCAATGCAGGGCAGATGGAGGAAATGAAGATAAGCTGAGACAGGTGAGTATAGCCGGCAAACTCAGGTAGGGTAGAGCGAAGATGGCTGGGCTCGAGGAAGATGAAAGATGACTGGCAGCAGGTCACTCAGGCAGAGGCTGAACAGAGAGAGTCAGAGGTGCAGATCGCTGGAGTAATGATGGGAAAACAAGGAGTATAGGCAGAAGGGTGAGGAGTGAACTGTCTTACTTTTTAGTAGCATGATTCTCAAAGTGTCGCTGAGCGAGTGTAGCTTCTTGTATGATAAGGTCAAAGGATGAGAAGGGATTCGTCAACGTACTGGTGATTGTGCGCCAGTGTCTTAAGTACTGGTATAGCGTGCACTACTCAGCTGCATGCACTGCTGGAGCCAGGACCTGTAACAGAGAATCAGAAGAGAAAAAAGAGAGAGAAGGGAGAAAGGCAGGTGGCGTAGAGCAAACCTGACAACCTGTACATCTGTATTCACTTCAATGCAACACTTCTGCCTTAACATTTGTGTTTATGAAACAAAATGTTTCAGTTGTTGGTGAGAATCTCCAAAAACACAGATGTTAAGGCAGAAGTGCTGCACTGAAGTGCATACAATTGTACATCTGTACCTAATAAAGTGGCCAGTGAATGTACATATTCATGTTATGCAATCTTATTTTATATTCAGCAGAAGTACTTCTATACTTACAAAGTAAAGCACAGGGCAGGATCAACATTCTGTGTCTGAAAGGAAACAATATGTTAATATCTGCTGTACATGTGTAAATATGCAATGAGCCACTGCAGTTACCATACAACTAGCAAGTATTAAAAAAAACAAAACAAGAAAATAATAAAATATATAGTTGCCAAAATTCTGCTCCCTCTCAGTACCACTTTGGCTGTAAATATTTTTTCTTGTAACTATCAATTAGCAAGAGCTATCATAAGAACACAAGAGTAGTTATGACACTGTAGGAGTCAGACATTTGCGAGTAGCATCTGCTAACTATGGCCTGCTGCACTGCTCCATGATGTCGAATGCACATTATGTTGTTCCCTTATTCGGGAGTCTAGCTTGTGCTGTAGCTAGCCACAATGATGTTGTGGGATAGAGCAATAAGTTAGTTGTCTCAACTCCCAAACTGTTTCAACTCCCATTTACTACTTTATCCATTAAACCTTCCGTTAACCTGGTTACATAGTTAGCTTAGTGGTTGACATTAGCAAAATTGCTAACGAGCTAATAGTTAGCTCGTTAATTAGCACGCCACAAATAGTTCCCTCTTTGCCATGTCAGAGGGATAAAATATTCATTCTTTGCCTTCATACTGTCGTGGCATGAGTTGCATATAAGGAAGAAGTCAGCTGTATGTCATTTAAACCACCTAAGTTGAATTTTTACCATTAAAAAAAATTAAATGCACATTCACTGATACTCACCCAGACACACTACAAACCGAAGTGGCACAACTTAGGTAATACAGTTCAGCTGTGTAATGGCTGCATTCAGGGACACTCAGAAATCCCAGTATCATGGTTGCATTCAGGCGCACTCGGAAATTCCGGATTCGGAAATTTCCGAGTGCCCACTTTCCAACCCACTTGTCAAGTCGTGACCCACCAGTACAGGATTTCAAATAAATTAATTAAATGATAAAGCTTTTTTTTTAAAAACATAGTCAGTGCAGCCTTTGTGTCAGATTTTTCCTGTGGACCCGTGACAATTGTTGGATATTAAGTTGTGTGAGACATTGCAACTCAAGCACCAGCACCGTTTGTTATGCACATATAAGGAATAGACGCTGTAGCTCAAACACAGCATCATTTTCTATGCACTTATAAGGAATACAACTTTCACTCAGATTAAAGCATGAGCACTGTTTTATATAAATGTACTAAATAAGGAATATAACCTTTACATTTTAGTAGAAGTAGGTGTGTGTGTTCACTCAATTATTAGCAATATGTGTGTTCATTTAATTACAGAATGTACTACTTTGGAATTAGGGAGTTGTGCTTGGGGGAATATCTTTGGAAAAGTATTGATAATTACCAGCTGCATCCTACAAGAATATCTTTGGGATAGTGCTGATACTTTCCAGCTGCATGCTGCAGGAATGTGCTAGAAGGAGGGAAGAATAGTATATAACACACAGTTTTGGTGATGTGACTTCAGATCATCTGCCCTGCTGCTTGCTGTATGATCTCCAGATATATCTGGAAAATAATAAAAGGTAATAGTGCACTTTGATATTTGGTGTTGTGACTGAATATTCTTTCCGCTATCTGGACTCGAGAAGAAGTATGAGACTTCACACTGTCTACATTGAAGAAATGTTACTCAAAAATAAAAATACACACCACAACTGCTGCATAATATAACATAAATACAACAGCCGAATAACACAACAGGGTGCTGTATATGTATAAAACTGAACGCAGAACTGCAAACACAACATGATAATTCCTTATAGTCTCTTTTCACTTAACATGTAAGCAAGATTTTATTTTACAGTGAACTAATGAGATAGCTGTAGTTGTCCTTTAGTTCTGACAACAGTTTCAATGTCTGGGCTGATAGTAGACAGAGCTACTCTCAGATCATGTTCAGTGTCCAACCTGTTCCTTTGCTTTGACTTGAGCTGTACCAAAGTGTTGAAGCCACTTTAACACAGATACCATCGCTTGCTGTGAACGGTACGATTGCTTTGCTGCCAATGTAGTGAGGGAGGGATACTCAGACATCACGTATTTGCACCAGAAATGGGGGGAGCTTATCTCATCAAATTTCTTTCTCAGCGTCTGGTCACATGACAGTTCAACCAGCTGATTCTCCTTGCTGCTTTGCAACACAATGCTTTCCATGTCAATTCCAAAGGGATCTCTTATCCAGTGACTATTGTAGTGTTTCTCTGGAAAGTAGTCCTCAAAGAGAATGTGTAGACTGGCCAGATGCACAGTAACAGTTATTTTCAGGGCACCTTTGGCCGCTGTATTTAGCTCTTCTGCTACGTGGCAAGTGTTGGGAAATGTACAAAATGTGTTTGAAACTTGGACGGTTATTATATACCTTGAACACTGCTGGAGGGCAGGAAACAATTTTTAGTCTGAACAATTTCACAAAGACACATTCTGGAAAGTTTTACTATGAACTGGAGGGGTGACAGAGGACCTGACATAAACAGTTCATGTAAATACCACCAGCTGTACCACAAAAGACAGAACAACAGTGTGGAATCTGAATAGGTAAATAAACACAGTATAAACTAAATAACATTTAACAAATAAAAAGTACAGGGTAATGAAACTTTTAGCTAAAACAATAAAAACTAAGTTTATAATAAATAAATAAAGTTTATGTTCTGTTCTGAAGAAACACGTGTCTCTGTGATGAGTCTCCAGTTGCAGCAGCATGAAGTCTTGATTGGTGTGAGGTTGTCAGCATCACCGAGCCAGAAGTAAGGTGAAGTAAAAGTTAATAAGAGTTATCTTGTGTTTTGTTTTGAAAAGTGAGTTTGATCTGCATGAAGTATAACATTTCTCTGTGCGGTCCAGATAGGTCAAATTGTGGCTGATAGTTTTGATTGTGTTGCAGGTTTTGGTCTGTAGCAGCATACTGTCTTGATAGCGTTAATCCTCAGAGTGTTAGGGAAGGTGAGGTGAATCTTGAATCATAGCAGACACCTTAACAGGAAGTTTGTGTCAGAATAAAAGCATGTTACAGGAAGCAGAAGAGACAGAATCATGACATTGATATGGCCTCTATTGGCCATTTGTGGAAAATTTGAACAGGACAGGTGTCGGTTGTGTTTGATCAATTTTTAACTATCCAGCTGCAGCCTTATAGGTTTGTTTATGTGAGACACAAAACATCTACCAGACACAATTCATGATGACTCTTCATGTCATCGACATGAGACGGCAGTCCTTCTGTGTTATGGTTAATGATGATCAGAGTGTATGGTCTGCTCAATGTTTGTCTGATCTGAAGAAGCAACATCATGTCATCCATGTTGGCTTGTCTCGTGATCTGCAGGGCTGATGTGATCTCTGGGTTCAAATAAAATCATGTCTCATCTATGTCCAGTTGGTGAAGTCCACTAAGGGATGTTATTCTGCTGATAGCTATGTAAGCCATGCCATGTTCACAAATGTGCTTCAGTGAAACTACAGCTGATGATGTTGTCATTCCCTGAACCTTGTGGATTGTACCACTCCTCTGTTTCAGGTTGTGTGCTCTTTATATGTACACTAGATTGTCAGCTGCACTCCATGCTCTGCGATAACTATTCCATCCAGCTGTTTGCTAGAAATTACCAAATTCTTTTGTTGGAAGCACGAGATGTGAAGACAGGAGAGGACTGTTTAATATCAACAGAAAGTTTACTGGAAGTCTGAGCACAGGTGGAGTCTTACAGCGCTGGGATCAGAGAGACAGAGCTCCCGCAGGAATTCCATCCTCTGAACCCCGAGGGTATGTTTTTACAATGCATTTATCTGGCTGGGCTAGGCCCGCCCTAAACAAAGGTACAACAATTCACACTTCGTAATCCTATTGGCCATTTGGAGTGAGCAGGTCAACCCTTGCCTGCGCTTGCTTGCCGATATGTGATCTAGACCAGGTGTGTGAGTGTGCATGTGTGTGTGTGTGTGTGTGTGTGTGTCTCAGGTGGCAGCTTGATCTTGATCAATGAGCCCTGAACAATGGGTGGCCTGGGTTGCAGGCCCCCTGTGTGTGTGTGTTGCTAATAAGTATGCTGAACTGGCCAGGTGGTCATCTCAGGTTGTGGGTCCCCTGGCTCTGTAGGACACCGCTTGACAAAGCAGAACTTGGAATATGCTAAGTGGGTCCAGGTGTGGGTGTAAAACAGGCCAACAGGTCTTTGTTAAAATGTAAATAGGCTGTCTGGTTGCTTGGAGATGCGGACATCTTGTTTCTACAGAATTCAAAGTAAATCAAATCAAATCAATTTTATTTGTATAGCGCCAAATCACAACAAAAGTCATCTCAGGACACTTTACAAAGTAAGGTCTAGACCTTACTGTTATCACTATTATTACATAGGGAAAACCCAACAAATCCCCCTTGAGCAAGCACTTGGCGACAGTGGGGAGGAAAAACTCCCTTTAACGGAAGAAACCTGGGAGCCAGTGGAGAGAAGCTAATATGGGAGAGATATGATCTCTCTTGCTAGTTCCTGTCAGTACTCTGGCTGCAGCATTTTGGATTAACTGGAGGCTTTTTAGGGAATTATTGGGACATCCTGATAGTAAAGAGTTACAGTAGTCCAGCCTGGAAGTAACAAATGCATGGACCAGTTTTTCAGCATCACTTTGAGACAGGATGCTCCTGATTTTTGCAATATTGTGCAGGTGAAAGAAGGCAGATCTAGAGGCTTGGTTTATGTGTGATTTAAAGGACATATTCTGATCAAAGATGACTCCAAGGTTCCTCACAGTAGTACTGGAGGAAAGAGCTATGTCAATTAAAGTAACTATATGATTAGACAGCAGATTTCTAAGGTTTTCAGGCCCAAGCACAATAACTTCAGTTTTGTCAGAGTTTAGAAGTAAGAAGTTGCAGGTCATCCAGGCCTTTATGTCTTTAAGACATGCTTGAAGTTTGACCAGCTGACCTGATTCATTTGGCTTCATAGATAAATATAACTGAGTATCATCTGCATAGCAATGGAAATTTATGTTGTGCTTCCTGATAATATTGCCTAAAGGGAGCGTGTATAAAGTGAAGAGAATTGTAACTAACACAGAGGCCTGTGGAATGCCGTGACTAACTTCAGTTTGTGTGGAACATTCGTCATTAACATGAACAAATTGAAAGCTTTCTGAACAATAAGATTTGAACCAGCTTAGTGCAGTTCCTTTAATCCCAATAACATGTTCAAGTCTCTGCAGTAAGATGCTGTGATCAATGGTGTTAAAAGCAGCACTGAGATCTAAGAGGACAAGTATGGAGACAAGTCCATTGTCTGAGGCTAGGAGAAGATATGCGGTTTTTGTACTATGATGGACTCTAAATCCTGACTGAAAATCCTCAAACAAATCATTCTTGTGCAAGTGGTCACATAACTGCTTTGCAACAGCTTTTTCAAGGATTTTGGAAATAAATGGGCGATTGGATATTGGTCTATAATTAGCTAGGACACCTGGGTCAAGAGTAGGCTTTTTGAGTAGAGGTTTAATTACTGCAAGTTTAAAAGCCTGTGGAACATAACCTGTTAATAGAGAGAGGTTAATCAGATCTAGTATGGATGTGTTGATTAGGGGAAAGACGTCTTTGAGCAGCCTGGTCAGGATGGGGTCCAGGAGACATGTTGATGATTTAGATGAAGCAATTGTTGAGGTCAACTCAGAGAGATCTATGGGAGAGAAGTAGTCCAAGTATAAATGAGGTCTTACAGGTGT